AAAATTATAAAAGTTAAAAAAATATTTTTATTATTAATTAAAATTTTATTTTATCTTTATTAGTAAGGGTAATTAGAATGTTAAGATGTATTCTTTTTAAAAATAAAGTGCCGTAATTATCAATATGTGTGAAGTTAGAAAAGAAGGTTTTAATATTACGTTAGAAATTAAAATCGACAATATAAATGGTCAATTTCTTCTTAAAAGTGTTACAAATAGTATGGACCAGAGGAGGTAAAGGCCAAGAAAAAAATAACACAAACGAAGAAAAATAGGACAAAATAAGGAAATTTTGTTCATTAATTGGCGCCGTAATATAATCCCACTTGTCGAGCACGAAAATAGCATCGAATCGTAGAGAAATATGGTCTGGCTTATAGTGTCAACTAGTACATGTTGTATATGATTTTTTTTTTTTTTTTGAAAAATACATGTTGTATATGATTATGTAATAGTGTTGAAAGAAAAACTCATAAAAGATAACTTGGCTATATTTCTATGAACTATAAAATGTTCATGGTTCATTTTTTTTTTCTCCCTTATTTACCTTATTCTTAATTGTAGTTTATTATTTTATTAATAAATAATCACTTAATCTAACTAAACATTACCTAAGAATTTAAAATCCAAATAATTTAATAGTCATCTTATTTCGTTTGAAATAAAAGATCCTGAATTTGAGTTGTATGATATGCAGATGGGATATGAGAAAAAATAAAAAATGTTACCTTCTATTGTGCAACAAAAAAAAAAAAAAATTTCCACATTACAAGCAGAGTGGTTTAGTTACTAATCTTATATAGAATTCACCTGATAAACTATATTCAAGCCTCATCAACCCATTTCTATTTCTTGTTCTCCCTCGCCTTAGTTGTAACAAAATTAGTTACTGACTTTACATAAAATTCACCTGATAGGCTGTGTTTAAGTTTTACCAATTCCTTTTCTATTTCCCATTTTCCCTCCCTCTAGTTGTAAGAAATTACTTATGTTCCAAAAAAAAAAAAAAAACATTACTTAAGAGTTTGTGAATGTATTAATGAAAAAGTCAACAGTTGTTGATAAAATAAAAGGTCAAATTGTATTTTTTTCTATTATTATGATGAAAAAAAAGGAGATTTTTTTAAAGGAAATTAGGCAAATCGGCGCCTTTACTCCACTTCAAATTGATGATCACCTCCTCAACTTGTTTCACTATTAAATTAACTCCTTTGCTTGTTGACCTAAGCAAATTGACCCTAATTTTATAGATGATGTTATCTAACGTTATTAATTCGTCAAATGTTCGTTTAATTTATTACCACATTCATTTGCCCCATTATTATCATTTTTTTGACAAGAAATTTCTCTCTTTCTTTTCCACTTCCCCTTATCTTTAGAATTGCATTTTCTTCTTTTGCTTTTTTTTTTTTTTTCCATTTATGAATGATAAATGGCCCCAACTTGGAGCTTAAATCAACTATAAATCCAATTTTTTGTTTTTATTATTTCAACAATGGAAAATAAAAGAGAGAAAAAAAAAGGTGGAATTCTAAAGTCAAGATGAAAAAAATGAAGAAGGAAAATTTTTTGGTAAATATATATATATATAAGTAATGGGGCACATGGAGGTGACAACAAATTAAATAAATGTGATGGATTTATGATGTCATCCATGAAATAAGGGTCGATTTACCCACATATTGATAATTAGAGAGGACAATTTAGCAATGAAGAGAGTTGAAAAAGTGATCATCAACTTGAAATGAAGTAGAGGAATTGATTGGCAAAATTTGCCATTTTTTATTCTAAAATTAGGAAAGGGAGGATTTGAACTATTTCTTGGACATAATTCGTGGCTAATAATTAAGCCAAGTTTTTACTCATATTACCATACAAATAAACTATCAGTCAATACCAACTCTCACAGAAAAGATAAGCTAATTCTCGATAGTTAGGTCAACTTACCTTATTAATAAAAAGTTAAAAATAAAGATCCTAATCAATAATTTCTTATAAACTATTTTCTTTTGGCCACAATAGAGTGCCATATTGGTCACTACCCTATTTAACAAGGAACTTGGGGACAAATTTTACCTAATAGCTTGTCTTGGTCGGGTACCCTAACATGGAATGCAACAGTTGTTCTTTTAGCTCCAAGGGAAGATGCCGCATATGGTTATTTGTTTGGGTTTGGGAATGTAGAATTGGTCCAAAGAAAAGCCCATCCTTAAATATACCCAATGGACCTCCTTAAATATAATTAATGGATCTCTCTCGTTGGGGAAAGAAAATTTTAAGCTTCGGCCTCCCAATCAGTCCAAGCCTAACGCAATCCTGTTTCTGTATTAGTGCGTAACCCATCCAGAAGTTTCCTCTTCGACCAAAATGTAACCTACACTCTTCTTTTATGGAGGAACAAGGTAGTAAAAAGTCTCAATTGGCAAATTCAAAAATGTTGTCCTGAAGCCAGAGTGAATAAAATATCTTTTCTCAATAAAGAAAAGGAAAAAAGGGATTTATTTTAATTGTTAAAAAATTAATATTTATTATTTAATAAATTAAAATAAATATACAGTAATATTTTTAGATATTATAACTAATTATTTAAAATTATAAATAAAAAAATACTCTTATCCATCAAACTTAATAAAGACACTATAATTTTTATATATAATTTTAATAAAATTTGAAAAAATTATTATATAGTTTGAATTGTATAATAAATATAATTAAATGAGAAACAATTTTTTATGAATGATGATAAATAAGACGAAAATATGAAATTAAAATTTAAAACTTAAAA